TATTTATTATATGTGCTGAAGCTCTCTCTCTTGCTCTTTTGCGAGCTCAACAAGCTCAAATATTATCTGGTATTTGTATTTGTCGGGGCGCTCCGTCTATTTCTCATCTTTTTTTTGCTGATGATTTTATTGTGTTTTGTGCTACAATTTTGGCAGAAGTTCTTTTTCTAAAACGTATTTTGGCTGATTATGAAAGGGCGTCAGGTCAACAAGTCAATTTTTCTAAATCTTCTATTTTTTTCTCGCCCAATACCATAGGTTCAGTTCGCCGTTTTATTTGTCGCTCCTTAGGTTTGCAAAATCAGGGGCTGTAGGTTCGGTATCTTGGGGTTCCAGCTATTTTGGGTAGATCCAAAAGGGATGTGTTTCAGTTTTACTGACTAAAATTCAAGATTAGTTATCTTTTTGGAAAGCCAAGTCCTTGTCTACGCGAGGGAAAGAAGTGTTGATTAAGGCTGTTTTGAGTGCTTTGCCTACTTATGTTATGTCTTCTTTTAAGCTTTCCACTACTCTGTATCAAGATTTGATGAAACATATTTGTTCCTTTTGGTGGTGTAATAAAGATAAACATCAGGCAATTCACTGGGTTAACTGGGATCTTCTTTATCGGAATAAGAATTAGGGTGGTCTTGGATTTCGTGATCTGGAGGCTTTTAATTTAGCGCTTTTAGCGAAGCATGCTTGGCATTTTCAGGTTCAGAAGCAAAGTTTGTTGTATCAGCTTCTTAAGGCTAAGTATTTTCCAGACTCGTCTTTCTTGGATGCTTCTTTGGGATCTTATCCTTCTTGGGGTTGGCGTAGTGTTTGGTCCTCCTAGTCTTTATTGCGGCAGGGCTTACGATCATTGATTGGGAATGGCAATTCTACGTATATCTGGGATGATCATTGGGTCCTTACAATGGATCAGAAACTTTCACCGCTTCAGGATTTTGTTCCATACTCTTATGTGGCGGAGTTGATTGATCCTGATACTTCTTCTTGGAAAGTGGATGTTTTGTCTAAGTGTTTTCCTCCTCTTACAGTGTAGGAAATTCTTAATATTCATATAAGTCGTTGGGATAAACCCAATGTTCTCATTTGGGCTCCGGAGCTGTCGGGTAAATTTTCTGTGCATTCTGCTTATAAATTGGTTGTGTCTATGTCTTCTTATCTAGGCCCTCCAGTTCATTCGGCTGATTAGTCTTCTATTTGGCAGTGCGTTCGCTCTCTAAGGTGCAACATTTTCTTTGGAGATGTTATCTTCATGCTTTGCCTGTTCGTGTGGCTTTGTTGTCTTGTGTGTATACTAGCTCGTCTATTTGTCCTCATTGCAATTTGCAGGAGGAAACTGTTGTGAATCTTCTTTTTTCTTGCCCTCATTCTCTAAAGGTGTGGAAACTTTCTCCGTTGCGTATTGATTTCTCAGGTCTCTCTTTTTCTTCCTTTAGGGTTGGTTGGAGTTTTCTTATACATCAGGCTCGGATTTCTTCAAACTTTGCGGCTGTTCTTAGTTTGATTTCTTTTTGTGCTTGGGGTATTTGGATAGGCCAGGAATCGGTTGGTTTTTGATGGGATTTTATGAGAGCTGGAGCTTATGGTTCAAAAAGCAGTTATTAGTTTTTGGGAATTCAAAGAGGCTCGGTCTCTCAGCTCATCCTTACTGGTGTCTTGGTGTCCTCCCCCAACTGGAACTATCAAATGTAATTATGATGCTTCCTTTTGTCGACAGTCGTTACTGGGGAGCGACGAAGTTGTTTTCCGAGATTATAGAGGTGCAGTACTTCAAGCAGTTGTTTTTTGTCCATTTTCGGCTTCTTTTTCTTTGCCGGCGGAAGCTGTGGTTTGTCAGCGTGCTGTCCTTTGTGCTTTTGTTTTAGGATTTTCTTGTTTATCGGATGCTAAAGTTGTTATGGATGGGGTGTTGAATGGCGAATCTTTTGTTTTAGGATTTTCTTATTTGTTTTGATATTGCCCAAGATCTTCGAAGATTTTCTTCTGCTTCTTTTGTCTCATGTTCGGCGCCAAGGTAATAGGGTGGCTCATGCTTTAGCTGCTCTTTCACGTCCTGAACTTGGATTGGATCAATTTTTGCCTGCTCTTCCTCCTTCCATTATGCATTTGGCTATGGCGGATGTGGGGTGTTAGTTGTGTTGTGTGGTTTGGGTTTTTTTGTCTTATTGTTTTTGCCAGGAAAAGTAAAAAAGTAAAAAAATAAAAAATAGTCATCTACCCATTTGTCTCTTCCCATTTTATTTTATTTTATCACATCATCTCCTTATTGGACTTATCTAGAGACCCAAATCAAATTTGAACTTGTTTGAAACTTTGAACATTTGTCTATCATTTGAATTTGGACAATAAATTTCTACTGTAATATTTATGCTGAGATTTCTAATCAAAGAAAATTTTGTTTAAAGTTTAAATTAATTTAGTTTCAAATTGCGGATTCCATGCATCAATCCCAGTATTAGTTAAATCCTTCCACTAACCAAATTAACAAAAATACTGCAAGAAACCCTTTTTGAAATTCTAAATCTAAGGCATTAAACTTATATACAACAGGCCAGTGGCCTAACTGTACCAGGTTCCTACTCCCCAAAGAGAGGTCAGAAGTTCGAGCCTCTATGGAGGCATGTGTATGTGAAAAAAAAAAAAAAAAACAACACAAACAAACAAATTTTTTATCATCTTCACTTATTACCCTAGTTAAAATTCTTTATAATATATGTATGTATATTGTATAACACCAGTACCTGTACATAACTTGAAAAAACTCAAGTTCAACATGCAAATATCTGATGTAGTCGCATAACATGAATTACAGAAAGCTAAATATTGGCATTGATTGCATGATACAACTGGAATTTTATGTGTTACACTTTTGTGTGATTCAATTAAATTACATACATAACTCTGTCCAGCCACAACCTAACTCCGCAATTTGAGACAATGTGTTTAGAGCTCAACAAATGAATTGCTATCTATCAGACGAGGCTCAACTCATCCATTATACCAGCAGCAGCTTCCGCATACTCTTCTGATTCAATGTCAACAAGCTTCTTCCGTAACGACACAAGTTCTTCCCCAGCACCACATATGTAGGCAAAAGTTTGCCTGCCCAAAAGAGTTGCACCTTCCATGCTGTCTATATAATCCTATACAGAGTACAGCATTTAATAACAAATTCCAATTTAATAAAGTGTGTCAAATGAATTTATTGAATAATGGGGATTTATCAAAATATATTGTTAGTAATGTTCACCAAGCTATGGTCTGCTAAATGAATCATATGATTGAGGAACAGAGTGTTGGGATTTATATGCCCTGGCATAGCAAATTCTTATTTGGATTATAGTGACATATGTTCCTGACGTTTCTGAAATATTTATACTTTATACAATTGGTGAATTTAATGTATTATGTTTCGATTCATTATAAAATTGATAGTGTCCACTTGATTACAAGAGATATTTATATATGTATGTGATGACGATCAATACATGAATATAAATAGTAATAATAAATTGTTCATAGTCGGTAATTATGATTGGACTCATAATTAATTAAGACTTGAACTGAATCCGCGTTAGGTTGAGATATTGCGAGAGCCGTCGTATGCAATTACTCTCTATCACCGTCATGGCATTTGACTCTTAAGCGTGAGAAAAGTATAAACTTTTTTATTAATTAATAATTACTTTGATTTGTTCGGCGGATACTTCGGGATCCTTAGACCGACACTTTAGGTAGTTATGTAATTAATAGTTAGACAGTTATATTATCAATATTTGCATCATTGCTACTTGTATTTATTTTGTATTGATTATGGTTGATCACGAAGTAAATTCGAAGGCCTTCGTGTGTTTTTAGACAAAATGATTTATTATATATATATTTATTTAAATTATTATTTTTGTCAAACAAATGATTTATTGTGATCGAGCCAGATATAATCAATGGTACCAAAATAAATATATTAATTAAGTAGTCGGATTGATGACTTTATTTATCCGATAACTAATTATGTATAGGGGGGTCAAAGTGCAACATTGACTTAGAGGTTATTTATTATTTAATTGGAGTTCAATTAATTTCTTTTAGTGGAGTAGAAATTAATTTATGAATCAATTGAATTGGGTCCATTGACCGGACCAATTATTAATTCATTGTAGCCAATAAAATAATAAGTCCAAATGATTCTCACTCATAGCCCAACTTGATATTGGAATCCTATTAGATTTGAGACGTGTGAATTAGAGATTGAGAAGGATTTATTGTTTCCTTTTCTTTATATTTAAGTTGCCTATATATATACATGGTCTATGTATATTTGAGGAGTAATTTTTGGAAGAAGGAAAAATGAATTTATTTTCTCTCTATAAAAAATTAGGGTTAATGTTCTCATCTAATGGAGGCTCCCACAAGTCTAGTTTTTCCAATGTCATTCATGGAAGCTTATGAGTGATTCCTAACGGCAAAACAATTACCAAGAAGATGGAGATTCAAGAAGAAGGCATCTTGCTAAGGGATGTACAATAAGTGAAAACATTCACTTTAGAGGAAAGATTTAAAGATTTACTCAGATATTTGATGTAAGTATTCAATCTATTAATTGAATGATACATCATATTTTATTTTTGCATAAAACTTATTTCTATATGATGAATCAAGATTTATGAATCAAAATCTCTCGAATTTTTTTTAAAATTAGCACGTTTCCAACACAGAGTGCTCTGGTTCCCTAAAGGATATTAGGTTTTGTTTCTCATATTGGAAAATGTATCACAAAAGCTTCATCATTTTGTATATTTTTTATTGTCATTGACAGGCTCACATGTGATTGATAACTCAGATAAGATAAAAGGATTCAAATATTAATTTTCAAAAACATCTTTGGATCATGAATCATCGCATTAAATCGATTTTTCCTTGATTGAATTCAAGCCCAAATGGACATGCAATAAACCAGCATTATCGGTATACATTCAAGCCCATAATGCAATAAACCAGCATTATGTTTAGTGTACGAGCCAGCAAGGAAGAAATTTTTCACAGGTGTTTTCTGATCGGGTCTAAATGGATCTTTACCAGGTGCCTCACGATATAAAGATTGCCCAATTTTGACAACAGATGACCAAGTAACTTCCAGACCTTGAGAAGATGGGAACAAAGCTAAAACCTGACACGGTTAAAACAAATTAGACAATATGTTCACATTATTGCAAAATTTCTTGAATTCATTTATGTTTCAAAACTATTTTCGAAGCATTGGATAATATATGAGAACTCTTCAGGTGTTTTACCATCAGTGGGAAAAATGCTGGGTAACGGCTTTCTCTCTTTCTTTCTTTTTTCCGGAAGTTTTTTTACCATCAGTTGTTCGAATGCAATGTTTGCAAATATCTAAGTTTATTTAATATTTGAAGAAACTTAAGAACTTCAAAGATATTGAGCAACATCAGAAAAGCCCCAAACTTATGATATATAATTAAAAGGTAATTTATTTATTTTATTTCATGTGATAAGCGTATATTTATTCTTTGAACAATCCAATCTGCCCCACCCAGCACCCTCAATTAACAGCGCCACACTGGGTAATGACCTTTGAAAAGTGTAGGATTATTGTTATTTTAGTATATTTTAAACATTAAACGTAGTATACTTAACCTATATTCAGTTCTGTTGAAAATATAAATTAATTAAACACGTGTTCTTATATAATCTTTGGGTTTTTATTTTTGATCTTCTTAAATATTTAGTTTGCACAATCATTATAATTATACTGATCTGCTTCTAATAAATTGCTCTCTTAAGCACCCTCTGACATGCTTTTATAGTATTGCTACCAATTCATAAGCACATTATAAGCTGAAACATGAGGCCCCCAATACGTAAGAGCATTATAAAGCTGCAACATGAGGCCCCAATATATTTACGACTATGTTTGCCAAACCTGTATGGCTGTATAACTATTTCAATCTTTTTGCTTTTCATTTTTGGGTTGGAGTTTTTAAGTATTACCAGGATTTTTAACGTTTCCTACTTGTATATTATAATGTTACAGTTAATACCATGTTGTATTAATGATGGAGTTACTAAAACCAAGAAAACATCAAAAAGAAAATTTCAGAATACAGGGATCCTCCTTAGATGGTACTTACCTGTCTTGAAACTCTATTAATTATTTCATCATTTGGTAACGGCATGTAGGGATCACCAGGTGTAAGCACACATCTGTTAAGAAGAAATAGCATTTAGTAAAACAAATATCCAAATGAATGCCAGGACAAGTGCAGTGACTGAAGTAATTTGCAAAAGTTTTAGGGGATTTATAAGCAAATATATGGAGCAAAGTATTGAGGTCAAAAACATGTTTTGAAATATATTCTTAAATGAAATAAAAAACAATCCGCCCCCGGGGGCCTAGCAGTGATGGCAAGGTGTTGGCCTTGGGTAATCACTCACCCGGGTTCGAGCCTTACCCCCTGCTAGAACTTCGACTCATCCGGTATTGTGGCTATGGGGCTGGGCTACAATATCCCCAGTTTGGTGCATTGGGGTAGGGTCCGAAGGGTCTTGTCTTGGGGAGTTCTGGGTTATCAAAAAAAAGAAAAAGAAAAAAAGAAAAAGACAATCCACTCAAAAACTGAAACTAAATCATGGAAATGTCAGATGTCAGAATGAGTTGAAAAACACAGTATATAATCAGAAGCCACTAAATCATGGAAATGTCAGATGTCAGAATGAGTTGAAAAACACAGTATATAATCAGAAGCAAAACAACAAGGAGAACCTGACTAGAAACAAACAACATGAGCAAATAACTTTCATCTAGAAAAAAGATGCAGAAATTCATGTGATCATGCTAATTAAACTAGAAAGGAATATCTGAACTGAACTTGCAATATTTTATATGAAGAATAGTCCAATAAAGTATTTTTAAGGCAACAAAATCAATATTTGCAACAAATATGCAGACGAATATATCAACAATAGTTTATTGTATTATACTTCATAATAATAACAAAGTTCATTGATAAATTATGTTACACCTACAGGTCACAGGGCCTACCCAGCCAACCAACCAATATGATGCCTAGTATAATGACAATGATAGATATAAATATCCAGAGACATAGATCAGTTCTCATATACCATGTGCAACATGCATGTAGTTTAAACAAATGAAGTCATTGGTCAGGAATACATCTAATAATGTTAAGGATATATTTTGCACAACCAAACTAAGTGCCAAAAAATATATTATGGTGGCAAAGGACCTTGTATCAAAATTAACAAATTAATAGCTTACAGACTATTTCATTTAAGTGGAAACATGCATAGGTTTATCAGCTGCGTCATGTCATAAATGCACGAACACTGATGATTCTGACGATGATACAAGGATAAACAAAAATAATTATCCTTACTGGAGCGATGAACCTTGACCCTCAATATAATAATCCTCTGGGGATGTTAGTGCAAGGTCTGCAAAGCAAGAGAAATCTGCAAGAGAATACCACATTTCATTGGACATTATTGTAAAGTGAAAGCAGAAATAATTCTTGACCCCTCAAATTAAAAATTCACATTTATATAACAGTACTTCACAAAACATAAGACAATCACCTTGACCGTTCTAGATCCTGTAACTCTGTGACCCAGCTATTGTATCTAAGTTGCACTGTGACGACAGGCACTCCAACTAGTTTATAGTTTATAGAACTAATCTTTTAATTCCAGGGACGTCACAGGCTGCCATTAAATGGAAAAGTTTAATGAGTTGATGTAATTGAAATGGATAATGGATGGAAGAATATAAATTGTGGAGAAATAGTCAACCACAAACCTGCAACATAAGCATCAGCTTCCACAATTTTCTTTTGTGTAGCCTGAAAGAATAAGAGAATTATTGGGAGTTAATCATCAAAGGAAATGCTCCATGCACAAATGTCAAACCGTCAATAACTGTTAAGTCAGCATCTGTCAACTATACCTTAGGACCCTCAATAATGTAGCTTCCCATTTTCAATTCATATAGTTGTTAAAACTTCATGGTATGGACTTTGATCCTTCAAATATTTTTATAGACTAAAGTGAATATGATCATTCTCTGGATACTCCTGCGTGTTCCCCCTTGGACAAGAACCAATCAGAGAAGCTTATCTGTAAAAAATCATCAAAAAGTTTCACAGATACAGTAAACAAAAGATATATAGTTCTCTCCATGAGAACTGGCAACTCCTAAATACCTGGGAAAAAAAACTGACGACTCCTGAGCACAACAAAGAATGGTATTTTAAAGTCATTCTCACACTATCCAAATTCCGTATCTGGATCAATAAGAACCCGCACAACGGAGGAGGAGTGCATGCATGTGCATTCTCTCTAAACGAATGGTTCATGTTTAAAGGGATGTCATGAGTCTGAATAAAATGTCAAAATTTTGTAACTTTGAAAGGTATTTTCTAATTTCAAAAAGTTAAAAGTGATATTATAGTACTATAATATGTCAATGAGATTAGAATGACATCAATCAATAAAATAGAAGCAAAAACAATTTTTGAATTGGTTCAGTTTGTGAGCTGAGGTAGAGGGTGGGGCACTTTAGTCTGTCCTTTTTATCACTCAGACAATACTGTTGGTAAAAGTTTTAGATACACATTTGTTACTGGACATTAAAATTTAAATAATTATTAATTAAAATTAAATTTATAATTAATACTTAAAATATTGAGTTAATTTTATAAAAAAACACTTTAGGAAGCCATATTTAGTTAGAATGTAAACACTTAAAAATAAACCCATTAAAAAACACTTTAGGCAAAAGTTATTATAAGTATGTCAATTTTTATTGTTCATGAATACACAAGACAAAATTGCCCTTAAGTACTTTTTGGAATTTACTAAACTATCCTTACTCCTTTTATTTTTTCCCTTACGAGCTATAGCTGAGTTACTCAAATTCAAGAACACATTTTCAGACATAGGGCACGTTTCAAGAATGGGGTAAAGATGAGTGTTTTGTCCGAGAGAGAAAAAAGAGAGAGGAAGGGGTCGGATCAAAAGAGGAAAGAAGGAACAAGGTTGGACTATAGACATTCCATTTTCTCAATCATCTTCATAATCATCACATCATAGGACAATGTTTCATCATCTTCATATGACCTGACAACCCAACCGACGATCATTCCGGCTACCCAAATTGCCATGGGCCTTTGGTTTATTGTGTTTCTTTTGCTACACCAGGTGCCAAATGCATCAGAGCAATAAGTGTAAAAAAATTTCTGAATAATGTAAAACATTTACTGAATAATATAAAACTTGCACTTAAAAAGCGTAAAATGGTCATTAGACTCGTGTAAAACATTCACTGCACCAATTTAAAATATAATATTTCAGTGTAAAGAAGTAAATGCAATGCAAATCTATCAAGTGAGTGTTAAAAAGGACCGCTTTTGAATTCTTCTATCTTACATTTGGTATTCGGTTTCTTTGCATGTATTGTAATGATTAAGTTTGTACTTTAACTTCCAATTTAAAGCAATAAAAAAATATTATAACTTAAACAACTTGTAACGACCCAAAAAGAGACCAAAATAATAATAATAATAAAATATATAAAATTTTGACATGACCTTCGCAGAAAAATCCCTCTACAACATGTTGAAATACATAAAAATGTAATAGCCTCACTTGGCCTTAAAACTAATCTATCATGTCCCAACGCACAATACAAATAGTATACCACATTCCCAAAATGATTACATACATATAAAAAGTCCCGTTCCTCAATCTCATCCAAACAAGGAACACGTTTTAGTTACATCAAGTTACAGTCCATAAAATATAGTTAAAATTTAAAAGTCCATAACTTACAACATTATACCAATTAAATTAATGTTTCACAAAATAGTTAAGATTACATTTACAAAATATTAGAGTTCTAATACAAAAGATAACAAAATAAAATAGGTCTCCAATCTCATCTAAACTTGTGGTGGGTCGCACCACCTCTTTTTCGTGTCCTGAAAAATGTTTAAAATAATGGAATGAGTATAAGCTCAGTAGGAAGTGTTTAAGACACATTTCTTATGACTCCGTGAATCCAAGCAAAGAATAGGAAAAAGTAGACAGGATCATGCCAATTCCGGGAGAAATACAATCATAATATCAATAGCAATAATCCAAGTCACAAATAAAACATGTCATGCTATAGGATTCAATGTCATGTAATGTCTTTCCCCAATCCCCAAAATAATTCCGTTTCACCGTTCTAAACTATTAATACAACCCGACCCATAGTATCTCTATGGCGTCACGAGGAAAGGGTTAGCTAGCAATCCCCAACCACATGGCACCTCTATGGCGTCATCTGGGCCTAGGTAGCTCAACCACACTAGAGCCTCTCTCTAGTTCCCTATAGATCACATTAACACCATGGACCACTAGGCGCCTCCTAGGCGTCCAGGTTTTAACAAAATCATTTATCAAAGCATTTCCCCAAAAAAAAAAAAATCATTATTTGTCCTTTCTTTCCAAAACATCTTTCCCATTTTCTTTCCCAAAGCCATGCGTGAATGTCCATATATTACAATGCCGTGAAATGAGGAAAAAATCATGCCTTTCGATGCCATGTTAAATATACATTCTCATGTATCATATTAAAACCTTAATCACATAGCATGCTTAACCAAAAAAAAAAAAAAAAAATCTAATAAAAATCATATCATGCTTCCTAATAACTAAGTATCCGGCACATTAGGCATATAAGACATGGAATAAATCACTTAAGCATGCTTCTTCACATCATATTAACAAAATCCAACACATATATATCACTTACAACATTGAAAATTTATATTTCATAAAATTGCCACAAATTAAACATACTATTCAACAAGAATTGAGAAGTAATTCACAAAAATAAAAAAATTTATGCCTCAGAAATCCCCTACCTCAAATGAGAGAAAAAACCCCAATTTAAGCCCTAAATTCAAAATCCCTAGGCTTGGCCAAATGGTGCTTGGCTCATATCAAATCGACGGCCTTGATGAGCTCTCCAACTTTGCTTCACAAGGTATTACCAAATTCCAATTGGTGTGAGAAAGATCAAGCCTTGAAAGCTTGATTAGAAGAAAAAGAAAAAGAAAACCAAGGGGGAGAGAGAGACTGTCAGGAGTTGAGAGAAGAAATGAGGTTATGAAATGGCCTTCAAAAAGGAAAGTGAATGGGAAGTAGGCCCCACCACTAAGCTAAAATATCCACCCTTTTTTTTTTCCTCCACAAAATATATACATGTATATTATCACACACCATAATTACACACACACACACACACACACACACACACACACACATATATATATATATAAATCAAAAACATTACATTCTCCCCAACTTTAAAAGATTTCATCCCCAAAATCAAGCCATACCTGAGGGAGAAAACAACTTTGGATACTTAGAGTAAACCTCCTGTTCGAGCTCCCAACTAGCCTTCTTAACTCCGTGATGCCTCCAAAGAACCTTTACCAATGGTATCGTCTTGTTCCTTAACACCTTCTGCCGTGTGTCAAGAATTTAAACTGGTCCCTCCTCGTAGGAAACATCCTCATCAATGTCAACCTCAACCCAACTCAAAACATGAGATAGATCCGGTTCATACTTCTGTAGCATCGATACATGGAAAACATTATGGACCCTATCCATCTATGGTGGCAATGTTAGTCTGTAAGCAACTTCTCCTACACGGTCCAAGATCTCAAAAGGTCTAATGAATCGTGGCGACAACTTGCCAATCTTCTCGAACCTCATTAACCCCTTCCGTAGAGAAACTCGAAGAAAAACATAGTCACCCACCTCAAAAGATAGCGGTTATCTCTGCCTATCTGCATAACTCTTCTGTTGGCTCTGAGCTGTAAGTAATATCTGCCTGATCAACTTAATCTTCTCGTTAGTCTCGAGTACAATTTTGGGTCCTAAGGCGGCTGTTTCGCCTACCTCAGTCCAACAGACAGGAAACCTATAAGGTCTACCATAAATGCCTCAAATGGAGCCATCTGAATACTCGCCTGATAATTGTTGTTATAGGCAAACTCAATAAGTGGAAGGTGATCCTCCCAACTACCTCCCAAATCAAGAACACAGGCTCGAAACATATCCTCCAAGATTTGGATGGTATGCTCTGACTGCCGTCCGTCTGTGGATGGAACGCCGTACTAAGGTGCAACAATGAACCAAACGCTGCTTGAAGTCCTTCCTAGAATTTCAAAGTGAACTTGGCATCCCTATCTGAAACAATAGCCTCTGGAATTCCGTGCAATCTTATAATCTCTTTCACATAAAGTGCACCAAGTGCCTCTGCGTCATTTGTTGCCTTAATAGGAAATAAGTGAGCCGTCTTGGTCAATCTATCAATAATGACCCATACGACTTCATTTCCCCTCCTGACCTAGGAAGATCTGTCATAAAATCCATGGCAATCTGCTCCCATTTTCACTGTGCTACCAAC